TTTTAATGACATCATAGACAATCCTACATCTTACAGCAATAGTTGGTCCCTTTTAAATTATTACAAATAAATAAAATCTCTCACTTGTGTTTAGAATATTTGTAAATAAATCTTTAATAGTCAATCACTTCTTTGTTGGTTGTTCTTCAAAGCTTCTTTCTAACTTTCCTGTGGCTTGAGTTTTTTAAATTGTACGACTTTTAAGATTCAAATTTGTTTGAGTGATGGTTTTAAGAGATGTAGATTCGGCTAGCTAGCTTTTTTGGAAGATGGGAGAAGTCAAGCGTTTGTGGCCAGGGTGCTTAACATTTCCAGAACAACTGCCCGAAGGGTCGTCCATCGCTGCCAAGATATTGGAGATTACCTTCCCTACAGGTCTGATATACTGAGGAAAACGGATAAAACTTGACAAGATTGAAAATTTTTGAAGCCATTGAGAAAAAGCGAAAACTGGAGGTCCAATAATGGTCAAACGGCCCGTAATGAAATTTATAGGAAAACGATACATAAAATTTTGTCACAAATTACGAAAAACGCCATTCCACTTGGAGTTTATTTTTTATTAGTCTAAAACTCATCAAAATAATGAATACCCATTCATATCCGCCCATCCCACTTTTACGACATGTCATGTTGCCAAGAAATGATTTATATTCTAATAAAAATTCTGAGTCGTAAAACGATTTTTTTCTATTTATCGGTTTGATCAGTATGGATGGGATGACAAGAATTCTATGCTCAGCACCATCACCATATGCTTTATCCAATTAGCATTAAAAGCCTGTTTGTTTACGATTTTTTAAAATATAATGGTACTTATATGTAAACAGTTGCTCTGGCTGTTTTAACTCTTTCCTATTATTTCTGCTTCACTGGTGGATTTCGGCAGGAAAATAGGTGTTTACTTTTTATAAATGTGTGGTGATTAGTGACCGTTAGTCGATAATTATTCAGAAATAGTGAGATGCGGTCTGGTGTGATGTGGTTGTTCAAAAACCTTTTCTTTATCGTGTCAACGTTTCGATCTTTGTTGAGATCATCTTCAGGGAAAGGTGGATTTATAAGATACAAAAAAATATTTTTCACATCCTAAATGTATTTGTTAAATTTAAACNATATTAAATAGATATTGCACATTAAAAAAATATAGTACTATGAATGAGGAACATTTGTAAGTAGTTATTCAGAAATCGTGAGATGCGGTCTGGTATTTGTTAATTGTAAACGATGTTTGTAAATCCCAGGCCCTGAAGATGATCTCAATAAAGATCGAAACGTTGGCACGATAAAGAAAATGTTTTTCTGAAACCTACATCCCACCAGATCGCATCTCACGATTTCTGAATAATTACTTTTTATAAAATTGTGGCGAATAATAGGAATAATAGTTTGGCTCATAGATTTGAATTTGTGAGTAAATTGTAATTTTAATGTAATTTGATTTGTGAAAATTTGTTTGAATTTGTAACTTGAATTTAACGTAATTTGAATTTAACATAATTTGAATAGGCGTGTAGCCTACGAATTTTACAGATTACGCTTGAAAAAAATCTCTGAAAGGCAAAAAAAGCTATATTGTTATCCTATGGCTCCAATACAGAATTTGAATAAAAATTCAAGAGATAAAGAAGATTTACGCAGGATCGGAGTACTTCGTTTCCATTACCATATATTTAAGATTGTTACAGATAGGACAGTTCATCAGGAATTCATCCATCATTTATAAAAAACAAAATCACTCAACGGCGCATTTATTGAATTGAAAAATAAGCCTGCTATATAAACAGCTTTTTGAAAGAAAAAATAACCGACATTTCCGTAGAATACCGGAACCTCTACGTCAAATAAACGCAAATCAGGGGAAAATTGGCCGGCGTTACTGAATAGTCCAGCGCAAGATGACTTCAAACACCACACGTTTTGATGACGCTGCAAAAACTACCACACAAAATCATTTTCCGTAGATGTCTTCATATGACAGTTAAAAAGCTGTTGAAAATTGCCATAAGACTAATAAGCAAAAGTGGGGGCTGCGGTGGCCAGTCGTTAGAGCGTCCGACTCGTATTTGCCACGGCTAGCGGTTCTGGGTTCGAATCCCGGCGGTGCCCAAGGTTTAATGGATTAGAGTAATCAAAAGCGTAAAAATGTAGAGATGTAGTGTGGTTTGACCTCTCGTCCGCGACACCCAAAACGGGTAGTTGGACGTTAACACTCCTGTTAGTTAGGAATTACTCATGCGATCATGTTATCAATTAGAAAAACATGACAATGATTTTTTTCTTCTACTTATCCAGCTTATTGTTGTTTTCATTACTTTCAGCTTAGCCATTCTTTTTTATATGAATGAGAGTAACATATTCTAAAAAGTATTTGCGGTGTTAAGAGATTAGGAGCTTCAAATGTAATTTTTGACAGTTTTTACATTTACACGGACGTCGTTCTTCAAATGTGTTTTTAAATCATCAGGAAAGATTGCCTCACCGTTTTGGCTTAACGGCCCATTTTATGGCTCGTTCGTCGCTCGAGGCCGGCCTAAATCATTTTTATGAGAAACGGCTTCTCTTCTTGGAGTATGTACCCTCTTTAGAAGTACAAAAACGTTCGATTACAGAATCCGAAAGATTTATCTTTAGTAAAAGACATACAATGAATATTTCTATTTTGTTAAATCCACTTGAACGATCTTTTTGCGAACGTTTATGCTGCCAATATGGACATTAACGGATAATTTTTAGATTTTTTCATAGGGTCTGTAGGTCAACCTAAAATTTCCGATCATTTTGGTCTGCCTATCCTCGTAGACTCACCACTGAAGATTATTTCAATAATTTTTAAAAAAGTTTTGACGACCCTAATAATTTATTAAATCCATTATATTTAGTGGTCTAATTGACCAAATTATTTCTTTCAATTAACGAATTCTTTTTATGTAAGTTTTAATAATAATTTATATTAATTTAAACCTTTTCCCTCCAAAATGGGATAAACTTAAGCAAATGGAGAAAAAAAGTGGGCCCGTGAAAATTTATTCCAAATTGAAAATTTTTCTACTACGATTTCTATGTCACATAATTGTAAATAGAAACACAAACGTGAAATTACCTTATCTGGATGGGATTCCATTTCGCCTACACTTTTTCAAGAATTATGTAAACAAAACGATTTTAATCCTAACAAGTAAATTTCGAACTTCAAAACAGAGATAGCAACAAACCCGCGAGTTTAGACGGACCCAATGCCGGTTCAGCGAGAGTTTGAAATGTTTTCATTCCAACTGATCGACCACGTTTCTGCGTTTATTTCATAAAATGTTCTTTCCAGGGAAAAGAAGATAACGAACACGATAAAAAACCAAATTATTGGTTTTTAACTGAGTATTGTCAAACATTTTCCCGAAGAAATAAAATAACTTGTAATTATAATAAGTCGTATAATAAAAAGGATCATAAAAACCTTTCTTGTAAACAAATCTGAGAAAGTAGTTTGGTCGTTTCCGATAATTTTGGTCAGAAAGACGTATTTCATAGCTTTTTAATTTACTTTAAAAAAAGCCAAAAACCCAATGAAGATGGAGAGAAGACTAAACACGTGTGCCAGGAAAAAATGAATAGAAACGACCGAACTAACTTCAATTGCCCTTACAAAAAAATTTTTAATGATCGTTTTTTACCTTCCTAAAAAGAGTTTCTTTAAATTGGGGGTAATCCAAGAGACACGAGGTTTTTTTAAAGGTTAGTTTATTACACTTTTTTCCTACGTTTCGGGCTGCTTTTTCTCTGTGCATCATCAGGAAGCCAATAAGGTCAAATTAGTGCATATTATAGCATTAGTAAATTTGACTGTACTTCTTGTTAGGGTTTCTGATGATGGGCAGAAAAAAAAATAGCCCGAAACGAGAAGAAAAAATGTGAAATAAACTAATCCTTAAAAAAACCATATGAGTCTTGGATTACCCCTAATTTAAAAAAAAATCTTTTTAGGAAAATAAAAAAAGACGTGGAATCGACTAAATAAAATGATCTTTTATATTTACGACTTAATATAAATAATAAAGCTACGAGATCAGGGATGAAGCCATGAAGGTAAAAAAAAATTGTTTTCTGATGTTGAACTTTTTGCTCTATTTGACGCCTTCCTCAGGAGTCTATTTAATTCCCTGATCTGGCTTTATTATTTATCATTGAAGGCTGTACTCTACGGCATAGTATAATTTTTTTCCGAGAAAATATATCACACGACTCGGTTAACAATAGAAAAATTTGTATTTTATCGAGTTCATTGCCCCACAGACGAAAAATCTCACAATTTAAGAAAATATCAAGCTATTGACTACAATGACTAACCAATTAAATAAATAGAAAATTGCGTTAGGACTTGTTTTCCTGCTGGTTTATAGTTTTGAGATTTATGTTATTGTGATTTATATATTAAGGTCCTCTGTTCTACCCCATGGACATTTACGACAAAAAAAATATGACTTTGGTGTTAAAGTGTGAGTAATCTTGGGATAGCCGAGATAACTGGTTCTCCGGCTAAGCCGGTCTTTTCTGAGAGGGGTAGCTTAAGATCTTACCTGCACTTCATCAAACCAGGTAAAATATCTTTTTACAAGGAATGGGTAGATTTTTCTTTCGGAAAACTTTAACTGGAGCACAAGTGCAAGAGTAATATTTTCACATTTTGTTTATATTTCAACATTTGTGTTCTAAATATAGGTTCAAACTTATTTTTTTCCAATTAATTATACTTTTTTATCTAAGGTCTAAGATGAGATGATAAAGAGATGTCACGAGCGGGATTCCAACCCACCACCGGAAGGCTAGCTACACATCCAGTTTTTCCATCTCAACCAAGAACTTAGATAAAAAGTGTAATTAATTAAAATAATTAATACCGTCAATTATGACTACTAAATATATATATGGCTTATTTTTTCCGTGATAATACTAAATGTAGGAATAAATTGGAAAGAAAACTAGTAAGAATAAAACAAGCGTACCTTCTACTTTTCCCATGGCGAGTATTGTTATAGTTTTGATTGCAGGAACGGCCCAGGCTGCGAGGTGGAAATACTGCGAGTTGGCTTCAATAGCTTCGTGTCCCCATTTCAATCCGGCTGCCAGAAACCATGTGAGCGTCAAAATGACCCACCAGATGGAAGAAGCCATGCCGAAGAAATAAAGGACCATGAAGAGTATGGTGCACGGTTCATGCTTGGTCCCTTGCGTTATAGTCGAGACCATCTGGAGTTTAGGCAGTTCGACAGGCGATGTGAACGGTTTCCTGCACGCGACGGAATCGCCGGAACCGAAGCCGACGATGTAGGCCGAAGCGACCATCATGTAACAAAGGCTGAGGAAGATAATCGGCCTTTCCGGGTAGCGGAAACGGTCTGTGTCGATGGTGAAAGTGAGGACGGTAAAGAGGCAGGAAGCGGAGCAGAGGACGCTCCACACGCCAACCCAAATCCTCGCGAACTTCCTCTGCTCCGGAGAGAAGAACATGCCGTCGCAGGGGGCCCCGCAGTCTTTGGCGACGCGGTCGCCCACTTTGAGCTGGTAATCCATCCCCTTGGGGACTTTGAACTGAGACGGGCAGATGAAACCGTAATCCATGGCCCCTTCGGGCAGGCCGGCGGGTTCCTCGTGCCTCGGGTAGCCCTGCTGGGGTCCGGTCGGCTTCGCTTTCCCGCTGGTTGAGCTCGTCCGGTTGTTGTCCCCGACGCAGATATCCGGCGGCTCTGGAAACTTGCTACATTCTAAATTATCCGGCCACGGAAACCCGAAAACGTTCATCACCTGCTCGCAGCCCTGTCGCGCCGACAAACAGAGCGATCTGCACGGTGGGATCGGCTTCTCCAAAATCGTACAGACCGGCACGTACACGGAACACAGGAAAAACTGAAGGTCCAAGTTACACTTGATCTTTATCAAAGGGGAGTACTGGACCAATTCGTACGCCGCTTCTTCCTGCTTAGCCTGGTTCATCAAGTTAGGCATTATCGTCTCGTTGTATTGGATGTTCTGGCAGACCGGTATAGTGATGGGCTCGCACTTGCCGTGGTGCCTCAGACTGTCCTTCTCGACGGACCTCGATGAACCGCGGTACTGGGCGCCGGCGACGAAAGCGGCCGCCGTCACCAAGACGACCGCCCGCAACATGATGACTGATGATCCACTGGAATTAAACACACGGCACTTCTTCCACTCGCGAAACTTCCATCGTCACACCCCGGATGATGTTGGAAAACGACTGCCGGCTCACTGCATACTCGAGCATGAAGAGTGGGGAATCCATGGCGTCGCCCCCTCTCCTTGGCAACCGGCGTCCTCAGACCTCAACCCCTCCACACTTCATGCCACTTCTCTTCACCAACCGGCGACCACTACCACACTACCACTCAATAATATACATACACACTTCAATTCACTGCAGTAAAGTACGAAGCATCGATATTTCTTGACCACGGAATAATACTGTCTGTTTATATCATAAATCTGAGGGCAGACGAAGCAAAACCTTTTTTATTTTGTTTGAATTAAATTGACTAGTCTTAATAAGTTATGAGTTCTTTTCCTAATATATTTTAAAACTTTAACAATAAGAAATTTAAAAATATTTGATTAGCTTCAAAAGATCATTTTTATCTAAGAAGAAGCTTAACTCATATTTAAATTAAATTTCGCAAATAATGATGTTTTCTCAGATCTTTAGACATTTAAAGAGCACTGTCAATAGGTGGCCTTCGGGGAACTTGACTCATGCATAAAGGGTCATCCTCACCTGATTAAGGTTAGAACATGCCAATATGTGTCAACGGATAGGATACACGATAAAATATTAAAATATTGCAAACTTGCTATTGCTCCTATTTTAGTTTCCCTTAATAAATCCCTATCTACAGAAATTTTTCCTTATGTCCTTGAAAGTAGTTACATAGTTCCGGTTTTTACAAGTGGTAATAATAATAATATTTGTAATCATAGACCAATTTGTATACAACCTGCTGTAGGCAAAGTTTTTAAAAGTATCAAACTAAATTTCTTAAACCCAATATTTAAAACCGTTATTATTACAAATTAACATGGTTTTCATGTTGATTTGTATCTACATTAACAATCATACTTATATTTCAAAATTATATATTACAATCTTTTTCTAAAGGACTACAACTTGTTTGTATTTAAACTGACTTTTCAAAAGCTTTTGATAGTTTTCAATTAATTAAGGTTTTTAATTGAGATAAAAAAGTCAGTGTCATAAGCGGGATTCGAACCCACGACCTTCGGCTAGATACGCCAATCCTCTACCACTTGAGCTATTGTGACTTCAATCCACTCGGACACTAACTTCCCATCTCAACCCCACCTTTTGAATTTTCCCTCCTTTTGAAAGCGTTGATCATACGATTCTACTACAAAAATGAAAAAAGTTAGGCATACTGGCAACTCATTACATTTTTGTTTGCATCCTATTTAGAAGGCCAAATGCTTAAAGTGAAATTAAAATCGGTATTGTCACATAGTTTTCTAGCATTTTCCGGAAGTAAATAAATAAAGTTATTTTTTTTTAATCCCTTATTTAAAATCAGGATTTATCAGGGCACTCATAAAATATGCCTGGACCATTCTTCCCATGCTTACACCAGGGCAATCCTGATTTTTCACATCCTTAATGAAAGGGTAAAACAAGAATGTTAAAACTGAATTCCGTATTAAATTTATTTACACGTTAACAATTCACGATGACTACAATTCAAATAAATTTGAAAGTTGAACAGATTGCGAGGTGGTCCGATGGAAAGTTTGGATTTGGCAAGCCCACCTGTTCCTTGAGAAACTGTTCGTCAGGTAGCTTGAGTTTCTATAGAAAAAAAATGTATATTATTGATTTGTTTTGTACATTTAAACCCACACACAAACCTCGACCACATCGAGCGACTTGCTAGTGAAGTAGATATAATCCAAACAGCCAGAAAATAATGGTGTGTAATTTGTAAGCGGGAATTTTTCTGTCACTTCATAAGCACTTTTTATTTGGAAATTGTGCTTCAATTCCAGCCCTGTTATTTTTTCCTCTTCAACTTAACATAAGAAAAAATGTTAAAGAAAGAAGTTTTTTTAAATCTTTCAAGTTACCAGAACTCCATTCCTTGTAATCAGGAGGTATCACATTGGCAGTCATGAATTCGTATACCCCTGATTCAGGTGTGCTGTTGAAATCCCCGCAGAATATCATTGATATATTTTTACCTTTTTCCTTTAAATAAAAATCCAATAATAACTATTGTAAAAAAAATATAATAAAATAAAACAAAAAGTAGACACCTCAAACTGGCTAATGGTGCTGTTCATCCATCGGAGCGCCATGGCTGCTTGTAAGAGTCTAATATGGTCAGCGGTCGGATGAAAATATAAATGCGTATTGCCCAGAACGAGATAATTCGATGGGTTCTGCACTGATTCCAAAACCAAAATCTAAAATAATAATAATTAAAAGTTTACTTTTATCTTACAGACAAACCAATGTAAAAAAAAATTAGTGTAATTTTAAATCAATTTAAATCATTAGTTTGGTTAAATAGGATCAACTGAAAAACATTTGGATTAATTACTGAAGTTCCTACACTTCACCAACAGCTCCCTATGGCCACTTCATGTGTTGCCGAGAATTGAATATGATTATACAAAATTTGAAATTATGCCAAAAAGACGGAAATTTGAAAAAGTTGTAAGTTGAGATAATTAGTGGATCATTGACTGCACTAAGGTACAGTGAAGTAGTTTTTCTGAAACCTGTGCTTTGCTTGATAATGTTTGATCGCATGTAGTAGTCACTTGGAGTGTGTAGGCAATACCACAATGAATTAATGGGTGGTTCTCCTGGCATGAATCCCATAGAACATTTATGGGACACAATAAGGCGGTGGGTTAGACTTTGTTCGCCACCTCCAACAAGCGTTGAACAACAAGCTTCAAACCGCTCTTGTTGGCAAATGAAATTCTTTCTTTCACAAGACAAAATCTGATCACTTAATTACTAGATGCTTAGAAGACTTAAGACACTCTGCAAGGCCAGCGTTATTAAGAGCACTAGTTAATAATTTGTTAGTTAAATTTTATCTAAATCTAACACTAAATGATTTTCCAGTGTTTCAGTAAATTTTCTTTAGAACCATCATCATTAAATAATTTTTATTAAAATTCATAAATTTCTGATCTCTTTTAATTTTGTTTTACATTCAATAAGTATGCTGTAATTAATATAATGATAAAATAGATAGTTTGAAAAAAAAAAATACAAGTGTCTGGTTTTTTTTTTTTTGGTTTTTTTTTGTCTTTGAGTATATATTATATATTTTATAAAAGAAAATTGGTAATACCTGTAATACAGTTCCTAGGTCTTTTATCTTCTCAACAAGCTTCTCATTAAGCTTGATCTGATCCCAAATATCTGCAAACATTTTATCCTTATCGACCTCTTCACCAAACACATATTTGCATTGTTGAACAAGGCTAAAAATCAAAATTAACTATAGAAAAAAAAAGACCTGAAAAGTTTTTTTTCTTGGTCTTGCACGGCCTTGATTTATTTCCCCTGCACTAGGACAGAAAGAGAGAAGACATGCCATGACAATTTGGCCTTACCGAAATTTCGTCTTATTGAAAAATGTAGCAACGCCCTCAGATACGGTGCCATTTTTCTTCGCCATCTCCCCTGCGAAATCGACACAGCCTAGTAAAAAACTGAGGTCATACTCGAAAATTTTCACATCGACCTCCTGGAGGCAGATTATATCTGCTTTGTACCCTAAGAAAGATTGTTTTAATTATTTCATGATTTTGTATAATTTAATATTACATGCATTATCACAGATGTTCATTTAAGGGCATAAAATTGTTTCTGTTGTACATTCAATAGGGAATAATAATTCAATGAACTTTTCCCTTCAAAATCAATTTTTCTTAACAAAAGATTGAAAAGAATGAATTGTAAAAAAAAAAACTTTATTTTGTTTGATATTGTTTTTATGACTACTTTAATAAAACTTTTTATTTTGATAAAACAATAAAGGTTATTTTGTAATTTATACCCATAATTTCTCTTAATAAAAGTGGCTTTCTGTAGTCAATGGAAAGAGCGAAAGGAGGACAATGAGCAAACAGCTGTTTTATTGCAACTTCTGTTTCAGCATACAAGTCTGCTAGTAAGTTGTAAGACATCACCCTGAACCTGCAAAAAAGACACTTAAAACAAATATATATTTAAAATAATTATATCAATTTTCTGTACTGGTCAGCAGGCGCAAAATCTGAATAGCCTTCCCGATAGGACACGGGGCTCAAGCTGACTTTCTTCGGTATTTCCGCATCCACTTCAGGTCCGAAACGCTCTTCATTTCCTGGTTTGCACACAAATTTCAAAAAGCTCCCGACATCTTTCTGAGTGGGGTAGTGCAAAATACAATCCCCGACGACTTTCCACGTTTTACCTTTGACAGATAATTTCAGTTGCATTTGAAAGAACATCCACATTGAAGGATCTCACCGTTATCCCGACTTGCCTGCCAACTCATCTCCGAATGGGCCAAGTCGCCACTGAATATTCTCAAAGACTTTGGGTACAATGGGCAATCGGACATGGCGAATTTCGGCATTGTGAGCTGGAGCACACATGGATGGTTGACAGCCACCGAATACTCATTGTCAACAAACTTCATCAGAAGTCCATTCTTGTATTTATCACTAAAGAAAACGTCTAAACATTTTTCTGTCCTTTCTACCTCATTCAGGCCATGGAAAAGCTGGATGCTTAGTTCACCAACCTCCACTACTTCTACAAAATTAAATCAAACAAGTATTAAAATATTTTTACTGATGGATAAATCGAAAATGAATTTATAAAAATTAACAAAGACTTCACTAACCACATTATGAAATACTAACTTGCTAACAATACAGTCTACACATTTACAATAAGTAGTCTGTGAGGTTTTGAATATGAGAGTTAATGGCCCCTGAGCATCATCATATATCATGATTTTAACTGCATGTTTATATCAGAAAGGTTTTTATATGCAGATTTTACTGGGATGAGTTTTTCAAAATTACTGGTTCTGTTATGCATATTTTATTACTTTTGTATTCAAAAATTCTGGATAAGACCAATTTGAAAGAAAATGAAAACATTCAGTCCCTGCATCAAGCTTTCGAGTCCATTCTCAAACACAATTTTCATATCGTCATTCCTACAGGCTCTCTATACAGAGCCAGAGTTGCACCCTTCAATTAGGAGGGATACATAAAGCAACCTTTCTCTAATGCTGGACACATTTGCTCCAAAAGTGAGTGTCCATGGGTCAAGAAGTCTGTGAATGAAATTAATTAATATGTTAAATGAAGATGTATAAAATTTAATGATTTTTATCCTGACATATTATGTTGTCGCTACAGATGGATCAGTGGAGAAGATTGAATCTTTGTTAACTTAAAATACTGGACAGTGTGATGTAATAACTATGACTATTATCTTCAACTATTAGTTGTAATGCAAGGAATAAATTGTGTTGGTGTGTATGATGCTAGTTGGTACTATCACTTTCTGAAGAATATCAAAGATGTTATCAGTCGTGACTAAAACTGAACCCTTGTCTAGCATGACAATTGTAAGAACAAGATCAAAGATGTAACGTCCCATAAGGTATAAAACAAATAATATCCATATTTGTTCATTTACTCGATTCGTCCTTTTTCAGCTTTTTCTTCGTTTTCCTTTCGAAGATTTTACCAACATTGGCTTTCACTCTGCCCAAGAAAGCCTCGACGGTCTCATAGACGTTCCGGTTGAAGTTGAAGCTCCTCTTGATGTTGAGCTGGTCGTGGACGAAGTCGAAGTTGACCTGGAATTGTTCCGAGTTAGCCTCCCTTCTAATATATATTACCCTCTGCCCAGAAGACATCGCCCTGGTTAAACTGGTCCTAATCAAATTAAAACTCAAAGTCCCCAATAATTTGGTCATTTGAAGTCATTAAAATAGAAACCAGGAACCGGACGCCACCACGGTGCACCTTCACGCATTTGATAAAAAATTAGGAGGTTTCCCACTTCCCTCTTATCAGTAGAAAGTTTTTTCGAAGGTTAAATTGCTGTTACCGATTTAAATAATTATAACTTTATTTGAGACTGAAATTAACATTGATAAATACAAAAATTATACTCAACAGAAATACATATGTATTTATTTTTTTATTGTTAAAAGCCAAATAGCCTACCCACATTAAACTTTTTTATTAATTTTTTCAAATAACAGAAAACTACAATTTTCTCCACACTTGGTGCTCTTCGAATGTTCTCTCTCACTTTCTATCTATCTATCTATCTCTCTTTTAATATCTCTAAATGCAGCCAGGTCTGCTTTTCTAGAACTACCAGATCTACTAATTTAAGTCCAGTCTATTCCTTACCTTTATTTATTTATTATTTCCATTGGTTACAGTAGTGTAGTACTGAAATTAGTCATAAAATTCGGATACAAATACAAATAACAAATATGAAAACAACACACAAGTCAAGGTGAATTTATGGCAATAAAAATTCATCTACCAAATAAAAATTTTTGGTATCAACCACCTTTAAATTTTTTAATATGCTTATTAGCTGCACAAGGAAGCAGAACGTACTTACTGGTCTTGACCCTGCAATTCTAAAGGATAAGTAAAGGATAAAGCTAAAGTTTTAGAGGAGTGTTGAAGGCTTGGGATATGATTAGTGCATTTGGTAAAAAAAGTAGTTAAATATTGAGGACTTTTATTGAATTTAATTTTAAATGTGTATATTAAAACTCTGAGTTCATAAGTGCATTGGATGTTAAGATTGCTGAAGACGTTAATATAGGAAGAAATATATCTCTTGGTTTATGTTTATAACAGTATCTTATGCAGGAATGATAAGCAATTTGAAGGCGATGGTTGATTGAGATTCTAAGGAAAGTGAAAAAATAGAGCTATAGGAATGTAAGGAAAACTCTAATTTTCTGTGGAGTGAAAAAAGCTAAGGCATCAAAGTGAATAAGGCTTGAGTAGACCTGTTCAATAATAAAGCTCACACGGTCTTGCCATTTAAGGTGGGAGTTAAAAATAACGCCGAGATTTTTAGGACAAAAATTGATAGGGGAGCTGTTGATATAAGGCAATCTGATTTAATGGGTATATTTTAAATTAATAAGGACTGGGATTTGTTAGGGTTTAATGTCTATAGAATGCCTTTATTTCTTGACGATTGATTGAGAGAATGAGGGTCACTTGAGGGAAAAGATAGTTTCAGAGATGTAAAGCTGACTGTCATGATCATAAAGATGAAATTGGGAGAAATTAAGAACATGAAATATCATTTAGAAACATGGAAAAGAGTAAAGGTTCAATAATCGAGCCTTGGGGTACACCTGCTCAAATTGAGCGTGAAGAAGAGATAGAATTTGGAGCTTTAACTCTATAATTTTTGTCAGAAAGATAGGAGATGAGATTGGTTGTAATTATACCGCTTGGAATGTTCAACCATACAAACATTTAACTCCAAGCTTTTGTTAAGTGAATCAACTATAATTATTTAAAATGTTTTGACTTTTTTTTTAATTTTTCAAAAGTTCTATCGATTTTGACCGCCAAATCGGCGTGCTCCATTTTTTATTTATAACCTCCGTGAAACCAACCCTCGGCAGTCGGCTGATAAGTTATCAGTGCAAAACATTTCTTCTTGTTCTGTATTTTCTATTTGTTTGACTTCGTTCAATCACAGAATCGTGGATCGAGCTGATGCGATCCCGTCCTCTTCAGCAAAAGGCTGAGTAGCTCTAAAAACAGAAATGGGTAAGTTCACGCGAGACCGGTTTTTAAAAAAATTATATCAATTAGATGACAGATTTCTGTGTGTCCAATGAAAAACTAGGCTTAAAGCCAGTGAAGTTAGTCCATTCGATTCGTTGAATCAATAGCACAACATTATATGATAATAATTACAAAAAAACCACTTGCCTGGTGTTGTGACATGTAATATCAGATTTCACACAGTTACACAGCCCAAAGTTTATAGCAGTTCAACTCCTCACATCTCACTCGTAAGACCCGCTCATCCCCAATCGACCTTATCCTTCCGCAACATACAACCCTTCGAAAGATCCTTTCTGATCCTAGCCCCTAAACTCTGGAACTCCCTTCCCCTTTCTATTTGTCATGCTGCCTCCTTTTCCTCCTTTAAATCCCATCTATATAATCACCTCCTCTCCCTCCAAGCAGAGACCTCACATTAACATTTCTTATTTTTGTTTAAATTCTCGTAATTTTCTCTTCTGGCCTGCCTTACATTGTGTATACATTGTGCCAAGATTTCTATCTTTTTTTTTACTTTTAACTTCATAGAAGGAACTTCCTTTATTTATTTCAAGTAAATTATTCTTAGGGGATACCAGTCCCAGAATAAAGTTATTTTTCTTCTTCTTAAAAATCCCGAAATCCCGCAAAAGTATTGATGTTTTTACTAGACCTCTCTTAAGCTTGTTTGACTTCTATGATCCTGGTTTGCCTGTTCTTGCTGTCTTTGTCGGTAATGTTACAGTCTTCGCCACGCATGATTTTTGCATAATTTTGTTTTACGAGTTTTGGTCGGAACAGTGCCCAAATAGCCAGAAACATTAATGGCACAAACATGCCTGGGGCTATGGCAGGGTGAATGAGAGTAATGTTCAGAGATTGATTAAAAAATTTTGAGATGGAAACATTAGCCTTGAAGACAAAACAGGTCATGTAAGGATCTTTTCCCTAAATGATTATATTCTGGGAGCTTTAGTAGAAGAAAATCTCAGAACAGCTGCTCAAGAACTTGCAGAGTATCTTTCAGTTAGCAAATCGACTGTTGCTTAATGCAATAGGACAGGTGAAAAAGCTCGAAAGTAGAGTTCTTCATGCGTCAAACTACTGCCAAAAAATCATCATTATGAAGTTTGCACAACACTTTATTGCTGAAATAGAAATGAACTTTTCTGGATAGGTTAGGTTGTAATGTAAAACGGATTCTTTACAATAACAGCAGATATTCTGGACACTATTATTTATTCAGAAATTGTGAGATGCGGTCTGGTGTGTAGGTTTCAGAAAAACATTTTCTTTATTGTGCCAACGTTGCGATCTTTATTGAGATCATCTTCAGGGCCTGGGATTTACAAACAATGTTTACATTTAACAAATACGTGTAGGATGTGGAAAAAAGTGAATTTATACAATGCAAAATATATTTTTTTTGTATTCAATCAAAGTATTTCTGCTTACTCAGTGTTTGTCTTCTGTGTAATTGTGCCATTCTATGTTTTTCTGAAACCTACATCACACCAGACCGCATCACACGATTTCTGAATAATTATCGATTAACGGTCACCAATCACCTCACACTATTATTTAGTTTACATAAATATGTTTATTGCTTATTTTTGTAATGCATAAAACTATTTGTGAGCTTACAACTCCTGCTTTCAAGCAGAAGTCATTTTGCACTATTTTGTTTTATATTTAATTTAATTTTTTTTTCTCAGAATAACGTATTTAATGTAGAACAAATAAATTAATTTTTGTTGTTTTGTCATTTACATGGGAATTCATACTTTACAAACTTATGAATAGGGTAAATACACACAAAACCATTACCAAAGTTGGCAAAAAGTTAGAATGCATTTTAATGCCAAACTGCTATGACAGGCATACCAAAATGATCAAGATGGTCGATTAGCCTGCAGACTTCAAGATGAAATTTCACAATAATTTATATTACTGAAGAGTTTTCAAATTAATTAGGACTTTATATCCCATGCCATCATCTACCCTGGGGGGAAGGAAAAAAAAACAAACAAATTTCAAGAACAATTTATTTTCACTCTTTTAAAAAAGTTGATAAAAATGGGATGTTTTCATTTGTGCAGCAAGTGAAGATGACCTTTCAACCCCAAGGGAGATTGCCGAGGACCGCGAATTCAAGGTTCCTCAGAGAGCCGTGCGATCTCCCGAAGACATGGCTACCTGGGAAAAGTCAGGAGCTTACAAGGTATAAGTCGACAATCTAGATCCCCCGAATTAATACTACCACGATTTTTGTATTTTCCCTTTTCTTTTAGATGTATTTGCAGTTTATCTTGGATATGAACAACACGGTAAAGGGCCGATCGTGTATTGCAGCCTACCAGCAGAACCCTATATCCGATGCGATCTTAACAATCCTAAACACACTGTTAGAATGGATCGATCAGATTCCTCCGATACAGCAGCCTCAACGGTTTGGAAACAAAGCGTTCAAAATCTGGTTTGAGAAACTTAGAAAGGTATGTTTTTAACTTGATTCCAATTAAATGGTAATGTTGTGAGATATTATGTGTTATTTGAAAGGTGATCAGGGAATATGATTAATGCAAAATAAGTCAGACAGACAAAACGAACAAGTATTGACAGGCTATTATTTGAGATGATAAAGTTAATACAAAATAATGAAATTACTAATATTTTATAATATTAATAAAAATGTTTTTAATTTCTTCAGAGGTGGGCTTGTATCCTTATAGGCCTCAGCACAATATCTCTCAATTAGTTAATTAAAGTGAAACTGTAACTATTTTCTTTTTAGCATAAAAAAGGACTTAAATTTGTTATGATGTAATTAAAGCCCAACTTATTTTTTAGGAAAGCCATGAGATGTTTTTGAACCTTTTCCCTGATAAGTTCCATGTCGCCATAGCTGAAATTCATGTAATACCCCATAAAATATACCAATTGACGTTTAATTGAAACAGAAAATCTTCCTCCCAGGTCTATTTTGCAGAGAGTTTTGGCAACCCGACAAGAATCGACTACGGGACCGGCCACGAAATGGCATTTTGCATGTTTCTCTGCTGTATGTTTAACATCAACGCTCTGACTGAAAGGGAGAAGCTGGCAGGAGGATTGATAATTTTCACGAAGTCTGTTTTAAGTGCATATTCGAATTCCTGTTTTAGCAGTTGTTAAATTTATTCATTTCAACAGATATCTGGACGTTGTGAGGAAACTGCAGACTGTCTACAAAATGGAACCAGCAGGCTCACGTGGTGTATGGGCCTTGGACGATTTCCAATTTGTACCGTTTATATGGGGATCTGCACAACTAATAGGTTGGTATAATTGTTTTAATAGTAATTGTTCGTATTGGGTTGTAAAATGAGTCTGTTGCGTTTTTTGATGGTAAATTTCAAAATTTCAAGTATTTGTAAAAAAAAATTAATCTCATTTTGTTCCATTATCTGTCACCATTTTCAATGATATTTTGTAATTCTGTCCACCCAGAAGTTCTCAGGTTTTTGAGTAGTGAACTCCTCAATGTGTTTTCTGCAGTCATCAAGTGAAATAAAGTTTTTCCCATTAATTGAATTTTTTTAGAGAACAAGTAAAAATCTGACAATCTCAGTCAGGTACGGTGGGTAGGGTAGTTCATCCTAGCCAAGCTTCAATAATTTCTGGATCACAGGGACATTGTGGTAAACAATCATGATGATGCCGGTCATTTTTGGACGATTGATGACTAATTGCTCCAATTGTGTAAAGTATGCACTAGAATTAATGGTTTTTGTTCGGTGGAACAAGCTCATAATAATGCTACCCCTTTCACAATAAGAAAAAGAAACTGACGAATAAAAACATCTTAACTATACAAGTGGGATAAAATCAAATGTTTGAAAAATGCTACAGACTTGTTTACAAGCTGATAAGTTCAAAGAGTTTTATATTGGGGACCACAGTAGCCAAATGGTTAGCGTGAGAGACTCTCAGCTCATAGACCCTGTGGTCATGAGTTCGATTCCCACTGTCACCTCTAGAATTTTTGTCAAAATACCCCCCCCACAATATGCATACGCATAATTATTGTCTCCTTGGCTAATATGCATCGATCATAAGGCCATTAACAATAAAGGTTTATATTCATATTTACAGGCAATCCTCATATTGAGCCATCGGATTTTCTCAAAGAAGACATCATAATGAGATACAGTGAACATTACATGTTTCTAAAGTGTATCAAATATATTAATGAGGTGATTAAATGTTTAACTTTAATTTTAATTGAGTATATCTGTTGTATAAAAAAATCGTTGAAATTTTTATTTCAGAACAAGACTGGTCTTTTTGCAGAGCATTCTAACCAACTGTGGAACATAAGTGGAGTCCTCAGCTGGGAAAAAGTGAATGCCGGGCTAATAAAAATGTACAAAGCGGAAGTAAGTTAATATTTTTTATTTTATTACACCTAGTACATACAACTAGTCAAAAAATCTGACTCGTAGAAGAAGGGTCATACTCACCTGATTAAGGATAGGTCAAGCGAGTTTTACACACAGATTCTTACTTTTGGGCAAACACTTGCTTATGTGTCTGGCACGCAGAGAAGGTTGATTGATGTGTTCTTGATATGAGAGCGCATAGAAATGCTTCCCAATATGATAATTGTGTTTGAACAAGCATTTGGATCCTTGTTCTGATTCTTGGCAGAAATAGGGCAGTTTTGTTGTATGTTCAATATGATATTGTTGTGTACGCTAGTGTGTGTTTTGAGCGAAAGTATTTATAAGCATGAATGTGTAATGTGAGAGGGCTGATTTCGGAATAATAGGTATCAAGGGTGATAGAGGAATGTGGAATGGTCTGTAAATAAGTATGTATGTTTTTAATGGTGTGTGAGAGTGTGATTGCCAACAAATGGGGTGGGTAATTCTTGAGACCTACCCTTAATTTATGGTAAATTATAAAAGTTGGGATTGTAGGTATGCACTTGTATGTGCAGATTTGAATGTACATAAATCAGCAATCAGTAGAGTGCATTTACATAATAAAATTAAAACAATTTAAAATAATTACATAATTTACAAATTTGTTGTTTGAAAGCTAATATTTTCATTATTATATAAATTCATCCAATTTATACATTTATGCATTTTTTCATGTAATCTTTCTTTGAAATGATTTTTTTCTTCAATATCTTATTTAAATTTGTTTTTTTCTCTGATAGAAATAAATAAAATGTATTGTTGATATACATTTTTGAAATTTTCATTAATCTGTGCCATAATTTGTTTTTAAAAATCCTGTTGGTGCGTCAGTGGCCACATCGGTTTAGGCGTTGACACGGTGCTCATCACTGTAATGTGAAGGTCCCGGGTTCGAATCCAGCGGCCCTGGATATACTTACAAATGGGTTATTTCCAAAACACTGGCACCTCGAGGATTCATATAACCTCATAGTTGAAATGCAATAAATTAAAAAATAAATAAAATAAAAAATAAATGTGTGGTGATTAGTGACCTTTAGTCGATGATTATTTAGAAATAGTGAGATGCGGTCTGGTGTGACGTAGATTTCAGAAAAATGTTTTCTTTGTTGTGCCAACGTTTCGATCTTTATTGAGATCATCTTCAGGGCCTGGGCTTTACAAACATTGTTTAAATTTAACAAATACATGTAGGATGTGGAAAAAAGTGAATTTTTTCAATGCAAAATATCTTTTTTACATTCAGTAATTTTACTCGTAATAAGTAACTATTTTTACTCACTCAAAGTGTTTGTTTTCTGTGTAATTGTGCCTGTGTAAATCTGATTTCTGGCCGAACCATTACCAACGTTTTTTCCCTTCGTCGGCTCTTTTCACCTCAAAGAAGCCGACGCCTTATACAAAAATGTCTTTTCTATACCGACTTTCTTCCCCACCACTTCAAAATCCAACGTATATAAACATAAAACAGCAATATTTCACTGCCAATCTCAACACGACACTCAAGAATGGCACAATTACACAGAAAACAAACACTTTGCTTGAACATAAAAAATATATTACAATTAATTAAGGTTTTTAGTTGAGATGAAAAAAAGTTAATGGCACGAGAGGGATTCGAACCCACGACCTTCGGCTAGATACGCCGCTGCTCTACCACCTGAGCTATCGTGACCTCGATCGTGGGGTTGAGATGAGGAGTTGATGTCCGAGTGGATCAAGGTCACGATAGCTCAAGTGGTAGAGTAAAGTGACCACACGTCCCGATTTCGGCGGGACAGTCCCGCTTTTTGGTGGACTGTCCCGCGTCCCGCTGATTTTTAAAAATGTCCCGCTTTTTAGAAAATATCTGCATTTCTTATTTTAAATGTACTGTAAAAATATATTACCTATTATTTATTAAGTATTATGGTGAATATAAAGAAATAAAAAATACATTAAAAAAACACATAAAATGCATGCACTAAATTAGGCAATGTACCGAGTTAGATTTACTCGGTGGTGTTCGATCATTGTCCTTACGTCTCGACTTAATTCAGATAAGTGCGGACTGCCGTTAGACAGTGCTGTGAAAATTATTAAGGGGACAAAATTTCAATTACGGAAGTGACAAATGAAATCAATAATTTAAAAACAAAATTACGAGAAAGAATTGATAAGGATTACATTCCTTTAATTATTCGAAAAGACATCACTAGGTTGGAAGAACAAGGTGCCATTAAACGACCTGATTTTCTGAAACATGTCAAAAAATTTTATAATAACTGCTTGGAATATCTTGAAGAATGGACAGTTCAATTCGAAGATATTAAAAATTTTCATTGGGTGACATTAAAAAAGGAGATTTTATGGGAATATTTGAAAAAATCTTTTGAATATATTAGTAACCATTTTCCGAAAAATAATATTTGCGAAAATGATCTTTTTGATGAGGTGTCATTGGTAAAAAGATATGTTACAGATGAAAAAATTAAATGTTGGTTGTCTGCAAATGTGGAAACAGACAAAAAATGGACAGAGTTATTCCTTCAATTTAAACAGCATAATATTCCTTATCAAAATATTTTGAAAATTGTAGAATTTGCGCTCTCCCTTCCAGGAACAAATGCAGCAACAGAACTTGTTTTTTCTAGTATCAATAAAGTATGGACAACTGAAAAAACGCAGTTGAACAGTAAAACTTTAAAATCTGTATTAAGTGTAAAATATAATTTGACCAATTCATGTGAAATATTTCACGACATTTTAATAAATGATCCGAATCTATTGCAAAGTATTCACTCGGATCAAAAATATGACCGTGAAAGAAAATTATAATTTTTTCAAATAAAAAATTTAATTTGATTAAAAATCATGATGTTCAAATTATTATTTTTTACAAATATTTTTATAGTTACCAATAATTAATAATAAATACATTTTTGTACAAGTATATGAATGTATACAATAAAATATATAAAACTAAATTTTAATTCTTATTTCATCCCATTTGTCCCGCTTTGTCTCAATGAAAATGTGGTCACTTTATGGTAGAGCAGCGGCGTATCTAGCCGAAGATCGTGGGTTCGAATCCCTCTCGTGCCATTAACTTTTTTCATCTCAACTAAAAACCTTTATTAATTGTAATGTATTAATTGGTCAAGCGGACCACGAAATTAGTGAATTTAATAAAAAATATATTTTGCATTGTATAAATTCACTTTTTTCCATATCCCACACGCATTTGTTAAATTTGAAACAATGTTTGTAAATCCCAGGCCCTGAAGATGATCTCAATAAAGATAGAAACGTTGGCACGATAAATAAAATGTTTTTCTGAAACTTACATCACACCAGACCGCTTCTCACGATTTCTGAATAATAAAAAATAAATAAAAATAAAATAAATTAAAAATAAAATAAACAGTATTTGTGTTATATCACTTGCAATTTGAACATTTGTTACAATAAATAACTAAAAGAGCGGCAATTAATTTCAGGTTCTGGCGAAATTCCCCGTGATTCAGCACGTCCTTTTTGGGTCGATCCTTTCGATCGAAGTTGCCAGCCCATACAATCCGCGGCCTTACCACAGAATGATGGAGCACAGGCCGTTGCCGTTGAAACAGTCCGTTGTCTCTTTAAAAGACGCCAAAGAGCCTGATCTGCCAGTCGAAGAGGGCGAACACGAGAGTGAACACGGAAGTGAAGGTGCCATCGAGGAGGAAGAAGTCCACCAAGGCAACTCTCTAACTGACTGAGTGTCCTAATTTGTCGGTAAACTTTCAAATATCTTCTGTAAAAAGATTTTTTTTTTTAATAAATCCATACAAGGCAATTTAAAAAATAAGGTTTATTCAATATTGGTTTTTATTTAGTAGATTCTTTTTTCAAACATTACAACCTATTCTTACTCAACTTTATTAAATTAATTTTTAAATGAAAATTTTTTAAATTAAAGCATAAAATAACAAATTTGGTCTCGTGACTATCAATAATTTGAAGACAATGGTTTTTTAAATCTATGTAATTTTTTTAATATAGCAATTTAGGTATGCTTAAAGCTTGCACAACTATACATAAATCTTTATTTATAACAAAAATATTTAATGATGAATAAAAAAGCCTAAAAATAATTTAAAAATCATTTTAAAAAGACAACAGATATAAACGAATCTATTTAAATCTTTTAGATTTGCGTTTACAAACTACTTTTTTTTACGTTACAAACTGAACAAGTTGAACAAAAATTGACTATTGGAAAGTAAAAGGGAATGTTAAATTATTGTTTTAAATAAATGCTAAGCTGCATAGTATTAAAAGTGTGCTTTAACAAAAATAGAACTGTGATATTTTCAGAAGTTTTTGTTATTATTTATTTCCCCTGAGCTCCCTACATCAACGATCAATTTCTCCAAAGACGATGTCTATACTGCCTGGAACAAAAATAAAATAAAATACATTTACTTGCAAGGCAAATCAAGCAAATCTATAAATCCAAATATAAAAATAAAATAAAATTCAAACTTCTGAATCTTGTTCATTGTTATTATTTATTCCATGCAATGATGTCAAATAATACCAATTATTGTTTAAAAAAATTCAGATGTTTAAAAATTAAATATATAATGTAAATTAGCAGTTTTAATTTACCAATTAGTGCGACTACATCTGCGAGCAGCAGACGAGGGCTCATTTCACTCATAAGAGCAAGATGGGGGTATGATGCTGCTCGTATTTTACACCTGTAAGGCCTCGAGGTGCCATCCGATACCAGGTAAACTCCAAATTCACCTGTAACAAAAAAAAAAAAAAAGAAAGAAAAAGAAAGATGGATTAATTGATTTATATTAGCTCAACACAGCACATGTATGCATACACATATGTACAGAATTGATAACACTTTGAATTTAAGCAGATTGGGGTTAAATCTTGGTCTTATATGACTGGCACCAAACTTCAGCACCAGGTCATTTCTGCCTTCCATGCATGGAGGTATTTAAGCCTAAGCACACTCACCCTTACTCAAGTAGGGTGGCGGAGTATTACTCTTCCATAACCCTTTACTCATATTATATAACTGTATTATAAATCTGTGGCAAGAAAAATACAACGCATCAAATGTTGGCAATTATTACAGGTCACTGTTCCCTGAGCTCAAGAAAAATCCATGGTTTTCGGAAGGCGATAGCCCAGAAGGAATGTCAAAGGAGTTCTATTCTACTATTTTTAGACTGAAGACAAATCATGGCCTATGGGGTAGCTACAAGAAGAGAATCGGTTTGGCATCGTCTCTGAACTGTCCCACTTGCGATTGCCCTTCAGATCCTTCCCACATAATGTTTGAATGTCCAGAATATGAAAATGAAAGAGACAAACTGCTAAAAAATCTGAGCAAAATCCCAAACATTTCCAAACCAATAAACTTAGAATCTGTCTTAATAAGCAACAATCCATCAGCTTTCAACATAATCTATGGATTTCTAAAGTCGATAAACGTTTCTTTTTGATTATCTTCAACCATGAAAATTTAGAAGATGAGAAGATGATGGAGCTGAATGAGTGGTGCGGGCGCGCGGCGGGGACCTGGCCCTGGTCGGCCGATCACGCTCGACAGTAAAATGAAAATAGAAAACTTCATGGGTAATATGCCAGCGTAAACCCCCCCCCAAAAAAAAAAAAAAAAAAAAAATGGGTACTCAATGGTGGTACTCAATTTCACTCTACAATGCATACAAAACAGGATATCTATCAGTAATATATACAGTAAAATAGCCCTGTTTCCTTCAAGAAATAATATGGGTCCCAAATAGAACAATTATAGGGTGGCATTCCTACATGCTCTCTATATGGAGTCAAGGAATTGCACCTTTCAATTAGGTGGGACACAATGAGCAATCTTTCTCTGCATGCCAGACACAGCCGGCTTTGGCCCCAAAATAAGCATCCATTTTCACATGAAGTCTTAATCGGGTGATGATGATCCCTCTTCTATGATTCAGGTCCTCGGCGGTTCATCAACAGTGCTTGACAGGAGCATTTCTGCCCATCTTAGCCAGTGTTCTGCCATTCGGTAGAAATATTATGTATTTAACTGTTGTAAATTTTAATTTACCTTTGGGTGCTTCTACGGCTGTGTATGTTGCACCAGGTGGCACTTGGAAGCCTTGGGAAAACAGCTTGAAGTGGTGTATCAATGCTTCCATGGAATTCTGGAATTTCAAAATTAAACTTATTTAGTTTATATGGAAAAAACAATATTTATTCATTCAACATACTTTCATTTCAGCTCTTGTCGGTGGCGATATTTTAATGTCATCGACTTTTATTTCACCCTCCGGTATCTGATTGCAACACTGTTCAATTATTCTCAAAGACTCTCTCATTTCTTGCACACGGACCAAATATCTATTGAAAAGCTTATTGTCGATTTTTCTTAAATTGAATTCAAATTTATGCTTATTGTACCTGTCGTATGTGTCTCCATTTAAGCCTATTGGCACATCAAAATCGACAAAGGGGTAAGCATCATACGGCTGTTCAACTCTTAAGTCCCACTTTACTCCTGAACCACGCAGCATTGCTCCACTAAGCATTAAAATAATAATAATAAAATAATAAATAATAATAATATACTTCTTATTTTATTGAACTTACGAGCAACTGGAGTTGAGAGCGTCCTCTGCAGAAAGAACTGCAATGCCAACGGTACGCTCTTTAAATATAGGATTGTTTGTTACCATGTCTTCCATTTCGTCAATTCTTTCTCTAAAGTTTAAACAGTAATCATATATATCTTCTAGTAGTCCCATCGGAAAGTCCTAAAAATTCCATTCATAACTTTAGTATGAAAAAGGTGTTTATAATTTTTCATACCTGTGCTACGCCTCCTGGTCGGAAATAACAGCTATGCATCCTTCCTCCAGAGCACTTCTCGAACAACTCAAAAGACTTTTCTCTTTCTTCGAACAGCCAGAAAAATGGAGTCATTGCGCCTATATCCAAAATGTGAGTGCCACAGAATACCTGATGATTTTGCAATCTTGAGAGTTCAGACATAATTGCTAAAATTGATTATATTTGTAAAAATTGAATTTTTTGGTTTTGTTTATGTGTGGTTACTTCTGATATATTTTGCTCTTAAAGGGATTTCGATGTTGAGCAATTTTTCAACAGCAAGACAGTATGCCAGTTCATTGTAAATGACTGACGAATAGTCAAGCCTATCAAAATAAGGAAGAGCTTGAACATAAGTTTTATATTCGATTAATTTCTCAGTCCCTCTGTGTAAGAGTCCTATGTGAGGATCGGCTCTCACAACCACCTGAAAATATTTGTTTTATAAGTCAGCAATGGCGACAAAATTTTTAGAAATTTACCTCACTGTCAAGCTCAAGGATCAGCCTCAGTACTCCATGTGCGGCTGGGTGTGCCGGACCAAAATTAAGCTGCACTGTTTTGAATTTTTTTTCTTTGGGTACGACTTCCGTGGTCCAATGTTCTATTTTCCATTTTGATGTTACCTCATCAGGATACATGACTGGATTATTGAACTTCTTTAAATATTCAATATCAGGATACCACGTTTGAGCATATTTTGGTGTGCACAAACTGGAAAAGTAGTACATGCAAAATAAACATGAAAAAATAAATTTTTTGGAAATATTTGGTATTTGTTTCTTCATAAGTTAAATCTCAACAGTGATTCTACTAAGGAACCAAACTTCGTATAAATATATTATTTAACTTTTATGAAACCCAGCACTTCAACTCCAAATAACTTCTGCATATAGAAATCAATAAAAGGTAAAATATAAAGACTGTAATATAATACAGCTTGCACATAAATTATTTTTGTTTGTTTTTCAAAACTGTGTTTAATAACATTAAAGTTATTAATTATTAAATAAGTAATTTAACATTATATGCCAACAAAAATTGCAGGCATTAACTTGTAAACTCTCCCAAAAATGACAGTAATTTATAATTAAAAAATAAAACTAAATTTGATTAATTATCTTAATTAATTATTATATTTTCTAAAATTTAATCTAAAACACTGTGACAAATGTAAAATGTACTTACCTTAAGTTACAGACACTTTTCCAGCCCTTAATTTTTAACAATTTATTTGCACCGTGAATTAACATAGTAGGTGTGTTTGTAATAGGCACAGTTACAAGAAATAAATATGTATATAAAATAAATATATAATTATTTTTTAAATTAGGAAGATAGCGATAAGCGAGTGAAATTCAATCTGTAATGGAGTTTATCATTTTCTTGCCTTAAATGACTTATAATAGTTTATAAAGTTTTAACATATACCTTTTTAACATATGTTTTACGGAGTTTATTGTTTAAGAAGGTTTTTATGTGGTTAATTATAACAAAAGATTTATACTTTTGTGCAAAATATTAAACTACATTTACACATGGGGGAAAAATGTCGGACAGATAGGTGACTACCTATCAAGTCAACTCTAAGCAACTGAAATTATTGATCCGTATTATAAGGGTGGTTTTTTTGTTATTTTTTGCGTTATCTCGAAAACTGAAATTTTACGAGCTTAATTCTTGTGTCAATCGACTCAGCAGGGACGTTTCCATTGAAAAAAATTCATACGTCGAAAAAAATAGATTTCGGATTTTTTTGGGGTTTATCTCGGAAACTACGAGGTTTACGTGTTTAATTTTTGAGCCAATCGACTCAGCAGACACGTTTACATTGAAAACAAGGGCAAATACGTCGAAAAAAAAAACTTGCGGATTTTTTGCCTCTCTTGAAACTATGAGGTTTACGAACTTAATCCTTGCGCCAATCCGGTCTCCATTGAAAAAAGTGTAAATACATCGACAAAATTTTTTCGGATGTTTTTGCGTTTATCTCGAAAACTATGAAGTTTACGAAGTTACTTCTTGCGTCAATCGACTAAGCAGGGTCGTTTTTCTTTGAAAAAAGTGCATACGTCGAAAATTTTTTTTCGGATTTTTTGCGTTTCTCTCGAAAACTATATGTTTTAGGAACTTAATTCTTGCGCCAATCGAGTCAACCGGGTCATTTCCATTGAAAAAAAGTGCAAATGCATCGACAAAATTTTTTCGGATTTTTTATCTCGAAAACTATGAAGTTTACGAAGTTACTTCTTGCGCCATTCGACTAAGTAGGGTCGTTTGCATTGAAATATATTCATACGTCTAAAAAAAAAATTTCGGATTTTTTTGGGGTTTATGTCGAAAACTACGAGGTTTACGTGTTTAATTTTTGTGCCAATCGCCTCAGCAGACTCGTTTACATTGAAAACAAGGGCAAATACGTCGAAAAAAACTTGCGGATTTTTTGCGCCTCTTGAAACTTAATCCTTGCGCCAATCGGGTCTCCATTGAAAAAAGTGTAAATACATCGACAAAATTTTTTCGGATGTTTTTGCGTTTATCTCGAAAACTATGAAGTTTACGAAGTTACTTCTTGCGCCAATCGACTAAGCAGGGTCGTTTTTCTTTGAAAAAAGTGCATACGTCGAAAATTTTTTTTTTTATTTTTTGCATTTCTCTCGAAAACTATAAGTTTTAGGAACTTAATTCTTGCGCCAATCGAGTCAACCGAGTCCTTTCCATTGAAAAAAGTGCAAATACATCGACAAATTGTTTTTAAATTTTTTTCGCGTTTCTCTCAAAAACTAGGAGGTTTAGGAAGTTAATTCTTGCGCCAATCGAGTCAACCGAGTCGTTTCCATTGCAAAAAAGTGCAAATACAACGACAAAATTTTTTCGAATGTTTTTTGCGTTTATCTCGAAAACTATACAGTTTACGAAGTTACTTCTTGCGCCATTCGACTAAGCAGGGTCGTTTTTCATTGAAAAAGTCCTTACGTCGAAAAAAATTTTTCGGATTTTTTGCGGTTCTCTCGAAAACTATGAAGTTTACGAAGTTACTTCTTACCTCAATCGACTAAGCAGGGTCGTTGTTCATTGAAAAAAGTCCATACGTAAAAAAATCGGTTTTTTTTGTTTATCTCGAAAACTACAAAGTTTACGAGCTTAATTTATGAGCCAATCGACTCAGCAGGCTCGTTTACATCGAAAACAAGTGCCAATATGTCTAAAAAAATCTTGCAATTTTTTTTGCGTTTATTTCAAAAACTAAAAATTTTCTTTCACAATATACTACAACGGTCCTATCCCCAAATCCGACTGTTACCTTGGGTTCCACCTTGATTTACGCATAAGGTGGAATACGACTGAAACGACAGGACCTAAACAGGCGGTACATTTATCTTGCAAACTTACAGGACGACAATCCAAGCTATCGACGGAAAACAAACTCACAATTTACGAAACGATACTACAACCGATTTTGACATACGGTATAGAATAGTGGAGCATCGCTAAGCCTTTCATTATCCAACGTCTTCATCCTTTCAATCCAAAACCCTCAGATCAATTATAAATCATTCGTCCAAAAGTTAATTTCCCAAAAATTGACCAAGTTCCACAATAATCTCCCACGACCCCAATAGTCTCGCCTAAGCTTTGCCCATCAGAACCCAACCCTACAATCCCATTAGGTTCTCAAGAGGACAAAAAAGACAATTTATTTCCTACCTATCATCTTATTATGGAGACCACAAGATGGATACCTTCAAAAAAGTAAATATGTAAATAGTTGTATATCTATATTCATCAAATTACATATTTTAACCAAGAATTGCAAATTGTAATGAAATATTGGGGAAAAAATATTTCGAAAACTATGAGGTTTACGAGATTAATTCTTGCACCAATCTACTCATCACGGTCGTTTCCATTAAAAATTTGTCTCGTTTAATTAATATAACGATAAAGATACATAGAGATTGAAATAAACAAAAAATCGTCCGGTGTCAGGCTTTATTGTGTATATACTAACTTTTTGAATATGTATGTATATAAGGTTTATGGTATATAGTAACTTGTATTAGCTTTCCTGATTCGTTCCTTTATTGCTCCATCCAGATAATCAAATTATTGTTTCATCATCTGAAAAAACAAGTGGAATCGATAAGCATTTTTTCTTTTTCTAATATACAATTCAACGTATAATATTACATTCACTAGTTTCGTGGTCCGCTTGACCAATTAACATCATTCAATTAATTAAGGTTTTTAGTTGAGATGAGACCAGCAAATTTCAGCAGAATCAAAATTAACAAACGCTTAATAAATTCATCCAAAATTTACTTAAGTTTTTTATTTTTTATTATTATTTATCTTTCCACCTTACCTATCCTTATAAACCTACTAATCGATCAACCACGGTTTTCCTATCCTTCGCCAATTTTTTCCTCTTTGGAAAAAGTAATTAAAAAAGCAATTACACCACAAAAAGGATCTTAAATGGAGTACGTTTTCTGAAGTTTACTGGTCTCTTGGTTTGGAAATAGTAGTTTAAAATCACCATAGTAAGTTTTTCAGCTTTGAAATTTTTTTTGAAGTTTCGCTACTTAAACGCTTATTTCACGAAGGTGTACAAGTTTAGTACTAATCACATCTTATTGGAAATTTAACGTAGTTATCAATGGTATCAACGGATTTGTCTAAAATCGTTTAGTTTTGGAGTTATCATTGTTTATTTGAACCAAGGTAGTGAAATCGTAAACAATCAGAAAAAGTAGAATAACTCCGAAACTGTAGACATTTGGACAATAGTTAATAAGGACTGTTTGGTCCATTTTGAATGTAGAATCTACTGGCAAAGTTTGTTTAGTAGCCGAACACCTTGTATAAGATACTAAAATCCATTATACTTCGTGGTCCGATTGACCAAATAACTTCTTTCAATTAATTAATCTTTATGTGCGTTATTGGTTGAAATGAAAAAGTTTGTGCTACGAGCGGGATTCGAACCCACGATCTTCGGCTAGATATGTCGCTGCTCTACCACTTGAGCTATCGTGACCTCGATCCACTCGGACACTTCCCACCTCAACCCCGCCTTTTGAATTTTCCCTCCATTTTTCAAATGCCGTGTAATCTATTTGATTCTCGGCGACAAATGAAATGATAGTATGATATTACTATACAGGGTGAATTGCTACTCGTGCTACAAACTTCACCAGTAGATTCTTGACCCTAAAATGAACAAAAAAGTTCATATTGACCATGGTCCGATTCTCAACCATTTCAGAGTAATTTCGCTTTTTATCGATTTTGAAAGATATCACGTCCTGGCGTCGGAAAATCGTGATATCTTTTAATCTAAACATTTCTCTTAAAATCTATAAGCACCGTTGAAATCCCCGTTAATTTTTCAATAAGAAGATGAAGGTGGCAAAACGTTTGGGTCTTTCTTCCTTGACCTTCTAGCTGTTTGTAAACTTCTTAAGCATTACATACTAAATGGGCATTAAATTAAATTAAAAAATTTCAATGGAATTATGATTTTGATTCTCTCTAAAAATTAACGGGGATTTCAACGGTGCTTATAGATTTTAAGAGAAATGTTTAGATTAAAAGATATCACGATTTTCCGACGCCAGGACGTGATATCTTTCAAAATCGATAAAAAGCGAAATTACTCTGAAATGGTTGAGAATCGGACCATGGTCAATATGAACTTTTTTGTTCATTTTAGGGTCAAGAATCTACTGGTGAAGTTTGTAGCACGAGTAGCAATTCACCCTGTATACATGTCTAGTGAGGTTCACTTCATATGCCCAAGTTTTTCTGTCCGCCGATGAAAGTCTTCCTCAGAGCTATCCATTTCGCGAATATTATCGTGATTGAATCCCGTGTGCTGTGTGAATGTCGAGTGGCGTGTGCTTGCGTCGATCAGATGTGCGAACCCCACCGACATGTTATGAGGTGTCGTTGGGTCGCGTTGCGTTGCGTCGGGTATGCTTGCTCCCCGCGTTTGCCGTTGCGGCCAATAACACACCTATTTATATCATTGCATATTTTTATTATGTTTTATAACAATAATAACAGCAATGATACAAATAAAATTGTAAAAAGTTTATTGACGTTTTGATTTTATCTCTAAAGCTGGTACAGTTGGATCAGTAAGCATTTTTTTAATTATGAGCAGTACAGAGTAGTCATTGAAAGTCGCAATGTTAAAAAAACTCAGTATTTATTTAATCAGTAACATTTATCCGCCCCACTTTATTTTCATAAATACATTGTGTAGGATTTAAGTGGGGGTTTTGTAAATTCAATAAAGTAATATTTTTCCTCTCATTGGTAAACAGTTAGAACAGCCAAAATCTTCTTATGTACACCTAAAGAACTATAGATAGAAATATACATTATGTGTTTTTAATTCAAGCTAACAATTTAACTTAGAATAAAAGAAATCAACCAGGGATGGTACTATTGACTATGGACAAAAAGTTTTGTTTTTGTTTAAATATTAGGAAGACAACTCTAACCATAGACTAGTTTCATTCAGAAACAAATGTATTTAGCATTTATTTAATTTTACCTTTATAATTTAAATATTTTACATTTTTATTAATAAAGGATTTTTTTTCTTCACTGACATTTACAAGCATTTCATTTTTACAACATGCTTTATAAAATTAACTTTAGGCCTGTAAAATTAACCGTTAACATCCTTTGTTCGTTACTTCTTAGATATATCCACCTAATGATGTAGTTTTAACATGTGTCTCGTAGCAAGAAACAAGTTTATAAAGTTTTAATTTTTTTTTAACAATTTATAAATCAGGTATTCTTTAAATGCAAACATGGATGTTAAATAAAATAAAATTATTCGGTTGTAATTTGACTTTTTTGCACACTTTATCAATCGCATTGGCTATGATTTGTCATTTGTAAAAATCTTCATTCCACCTTTAAATCTGTAAAGACTGATTTTGCATAATTTTCCATTTTACAGTAATCGGAAACTCGTGTATAATATTTGTGTGGAATTGAGTAAATATTAAAAATACGTGAGCACAGAGATAATGTCAAATAAAATAAATAAAACTTTTGTTTTTACTGTTTATATTATAAAAAATTATTATTGCCAAAAGCAAAATATTTATGTTGCACCTGTTGAAGTGTGCTGTATTAAAACAATATGTTTAAGCATATTCATGTTGGATTATTGCTCGATTAAAAAAATGTGTTTATTAAATTATTTTATTGTTATTTATCCAATCTCTGATTCCATTTTGATACAATTTTAAAATTGATTTGGTTTGCTAATCCATAGTGAAAAGAAAAAAAAGGAAAGTGTTTTTATAATTTATGCTGTAAATATTGTTTTTATTTATGTATTTTTAAGATGTTTTTTTATGTAAATCCAATTTTAAATGTTCAAACCATAGCCGAATACAATGCCAGCAGCTATTGAAAGATAGAAACACAAGAAAATACGCTATTTTCTCGTAAACAACGAGTTGGCACAGTATAACTCAATGGGCAAAGTGTTTTTATTTATTTATTTATTTTTTTGCACAGAGTATCTGAAAATTTAGTCTTCAGATGTTGACTGTCTTTAAACTTTGCCCTACGATTTTTCTTTTCAGCGCACTTTTGTGTAGCCGATCGCTGGGAAGTTGGCCAAAACTGGCAGCAAGAAGGAGACGAAGAAGGACGAAGCGCCTGGCGTCGCTCTTGATAAGGAATTGTCCTTGGTCGAGTCCTTTTCGCCGTCCTCTTCTCGGAGGGAGCCCTGACTCCCGTTCTGGTCGTCGTCCTCGTCGGCGAAGTCGTCTTCATCCTCAGACTGGTACCGCCCGTCGTCGTTCATCTTTTTCTTGTTCTCCACTGGAACGGCTTAAAAAATCGTAAAATTTCAATTAAGTAAACAGAAAACCGGAAAAACAATGGTTATTTTTGGGTTTTTGGTGAACAAAAACGACCGGGCTCTTAAAGATTACTGAAATCATTTGTAGATCACGGATATTTTGAAGAGGAAGCCAATAAGGCCTCAAAAAATGCAGTGATTGTAAATCTATTTTCGTTCATCAAAAACCATCATTTTCAGTATGTCTGTACTACAACCATGATTTCAAAAAATGATTAAAATAGGAAAAAATGTGTAATTTGTGGTGATTAGTGACCGTTAATCGATAATTATTCAGATATCGTGAGATGCGGTCTGGAGTGATGTAGGTTTCAGAAAAACATTTTCTTTATCGTGCCAACGTTTCGATCTTTATTGAGATCATCTTCAGTGCCTGGGATTTACAAACACAAATACATGTAGAATGTGGAAAAAAGCCTTATACAAAAATGTCTTTTCTATACCGACTTCCTTCCCCACCCCTTCAAAATCCAACATATGTAAACACAAAACAGCAAAATCTCACTGGCACTCTCAACACGACACGCAAGAATGGCACAATTACAAAGAAGACAAACACTTTGAGTGAGTAGAAATACTTCGATTGAATATAAAAAAATATATTTTTCATTGTATAAATTAACTTTTTTCCGCATTCTACATGTATTTGTTAAATGTAAACAATGTTTGTAAATTCCAGGCGCTGAAGATGATCTCAATAAAGATCGAAACGTTGGCACGATAAAGAAAATTGTTTTGCTGAAACCTACATCACACCAGACCGCATCTCACGAACTGTGAATAAAAATGTGTAACTTCTGCGGATAGGCATACCAAAATAATCGGACTGAAAAAAAAGCCAACTTACAAATTTGCTTAGAAATTCGCAATATTCCAGGATTTTATTAATTTGTGGATTAGATCGTCTAAGTCACTTAAATCAATAATCAGAAAAATCATTCGTTTATTCTACAAAAGGGTGACAAAGGACATCAAAACGAAAATTTAACCCAGCAATAATAACATATTAAAAACATCAACGTTTGTACAATTTGACTTAATAATAAGATAATTTAAAGCGTTATCTGTGGTTCATTCAATTTATTTTCCAACTTCATTGGATTGAACTTCAAGTATAGAGCACGGTCTAAATTAGCTACTCCTCGTGACCCCCTCTTGTTTTCTTATAAAGGTTAGCAAATATCACTGGTTAATGCCGTCAGGCAATGCTAAGAGTTGTTTTTCATGAATTTGACCCATCGATTTCGCTTATCGATAGAACTATCAATTTTATTTAACTAATTTATCTTTCATTAATGTAGTTTGTATTTGTAAAATGTTAAACGGATGAAATTTAAATTTAAAAAACAGAGAATATCATCACATATTTTGTTTGTTACGTTGTGGGCCAATAAAGCTCAAATACCTTATATGGTTAAAATTTAAACTGAAAGTAGTATTCAAAATTATTTAGTGTTTGATTGGCAGTAAATCTGTACGCTGGTGTCTTTGAGCTCTAATAAAATTTTATATTGAGTATTAATTTATTTATACGTTTGGTTTTAACTGCACGAACTGAACATGGTGTTCGATGAAGGGCGACATTGGCCAACTTCGAGCCTTGATAGATAATAATTTACGTTTTCACTTCAGCAAAGTGTAAATATTACAGGCGAATAGTGGAAGAACTAAAATCGTAGGGACAACGGCATGAATTCCTTAAACGATTCTCGACATCAAAAATCGTAAAAAAGGTTTCAGATGATTTCTGCCAAGTTGACCGATACATTTGGATCACATTGGATTGGAGCACATATTATTTGGGATAAACTGTTCCTCTTGAGAACTGAGGGAAAGAGTTTTTGGATACGTGGACGCCAGATAAACTACTTAGAAACCCCAACCGTACTGGGCTTAATTCTTAATCTACCTACTACATAACATCAAGGAAGATTACGTCGTTGATCAACTAGAGAACACTGGAGGGAATTTCTAGCGTCCACTCCCATGCAAATGTGATCCTTGGAGGTGACTTCAACAGTAGAGTTGGAAAACTTAATCAGCCAGACAGTGAGTCCGTACTCAGATTGCTAGTTTACACCACAGCCCAAATTCGCCGACTGTGTTAAATCTGGGCCAATGTTAACTCTAGTCGGATCCCATGCAAAAGAACTCATGTCTGAGTACTAGGACACTCGATTTTTTTTTTGATCACTTACTTTCCAGCAGTTGCCAGAATAGTTATTCTACGGGTCAAATGTGACTTGGTCTTATTTTCAAACCTAACGCTTGACATTTGCGTTCGCGTCGGGCTCTAGGAGGTATTTGGACTTCTTTTAAATTTAAAAACTTAAGTCAAGATCCGTTAGAATAGAGGTTTGTGTCATCCCTTAGCTGTTAGGTATGTTTGGCCTTGAAAGATATGTATATGTCCAAGAGTCTGACTGGACCTCAAGATCTGGGTATGTATTAGGTGAAGAAGTTAGCTGGTAGGTAGTACACATTGTTTTGTGTGGAGTAGCACATTTGATAGCCATTCGAAGAGTTTAGTCGAGTGACTTTGCGATGGAGCTTGGTCTAGATTGCTTAGCATGACTAATCTACCAAATTATTTAAAAAAACTTTCAATCGTTTCAAGTGAATCCCCCCATACAATTATTATCTTCATTCATTCGTTTTATATTTTATTTATGAGGTCCAGCTTTTATCGTTAAAAACTTCAGAAAAGTACGGCCAGTCAACTGTGATTTTGTGATTGCCGGTAGAATCGCAGTAATGTCAAATTTTAAGATTCTGCTTTTCATCCTGAGGTCAGAGTAACACATCATCTGGTGATGAATTCGAGGTAAAAGTATATGGGACGAAGGAAATTGTTATATCTGTAGATGACGAACAGTTATTGGAAAATGAGACCATTGTCATTTTTCGGATAGTTTCCTTTTAAATCATTGAGCGTTATTTAATATCCAATATGTTTAGTGTCTAATTGATTAAATTACTTCTTTCAATAATTATTCTTTTTATGAAAAGTCTTGGTTGAAATGAAAAAGTTAGTGTCACGAGCGGGATTCAAACCCACGACCTTCGGCTCAATACGCCGCAGCTCTAACCACTTGAGTTATCCAAGTCACGATATCTCAAGTGGTTAGAGCAGCGGCGTATTGAGACGAAGGTAGTGGGTTCGAATCCCGCTCGTGCGCTAACTTTTTCATCTTAACCAACACCTTACATAAAAATAATAGTTAATTGAAAGAAGTTATTTAATATTTTTGGAATGTAGAAAATGAAAAATAACTAAATGGTTTAATAAATACTAGTAAAGTCATAAATAATGCTAGTAATAAATATGCAAAAAGGTATCAAATAATAATAAATAAGTAGTAATAGCGTCAATGTACAACATACTAAAAAATAGTTTAAAAAATTAGTGAAAAATAAAGAAAAACAGAGAAAAATAAGGGACCGCGGTGGCCTGGTGGATTTGGAGATCGTGAGGTGCGGTCTGGTGATTTTAGAAAAACATTTTCTTTACCGTGCCAACGGTTCGATCTTTACTGAGATCATCTTCAGGATCTGGGATTTATAAACATACAATGCGAGAAAATTTTAGATGAAAAAAGAATGAATTTATACAAAGCGAGAAAATTTTAGATTAAAAAAAAGAATGATTTTATACAATGCTAGAAAATTTTAGATAAAGAAAATGAATTATACAATGCTAGAAAATTTTAGATTCAATCAAAATATTTGTACTCACTCAAAGTGTTTGTTTTCTGTTTAGATGTGTCATTCTTGTTTTTTTTCACATTCTACATGTATTTGTAAAATTTAAACAATGTTTATAAATCGCAGGCCCTGAAGATGATCTCAATAAAGATCGAAACGTTGGCATGATAAAGAAAATGTTTTTCTAAAACCTACGTCACAGCAGACTGCACCTCACGATCTCCAAATCCACTAGGCCACCGCGGTCCCTTATTTTACAGGGCACTAAACACCAGACATAGTAAATAATAAAGAAGAGAATGGGGTGAAATTAGTTTTCAACAAGAAGTATAGAAAACGTCAAACTTAATTCTATTCTCTAAAAGGTCAAGTTGTAGTTTATGTATGTGTATACTTACTGTATAATCTAATTGATCCTTCTGCGTCGCCTATGCTGTTTTTGGAGACGCAGTTGTAACCACCCAGGTCACTTTTCTGTATGTCTTTTATCGTTAACAACATTGCTGCTGTGTAGTATGGCCCGGCGGTCTCTTTCATCTCGTATTTCGGGCTTTGGACTATCATTTCACCTGTAAAAGATGGAAAACCGTAAAATCAAAGATGTCAAACCGGGTCCCCCGGGGCTAGAGCGCGGGATGCGACAAGGTTTTCGGGATTTTATCACCCTCCTAGTAAACCCGTGCGTTAATATACATATATTTTGTTTGTGGGCCTGACCCGAAAGGGCGGGAGGGTTGTAAAAAACCAGAGCGGTGGCTGCGTTGTGTGGATATGCGAGTGATGCTGATTTACATATCGGCGGGACGTGACGCCCAAACCGAGATCTCCTGAGCCCGTTTTTTTAAACAGGAAAACCGATACCGAAGCAAATTAATATTTCATTATTACTCCCCTCGTGGGGGCCGCAACGTCAAAATTTAAATTCTACAAAATTGCACTTTCTGCTATTTACAACTCACGCGGTCCGCTTCTGCAAATGTTCACCGCAATTCTAAACAATCCCATAAATTACATATTCCATAAAAAACCTAAATGCATTTAATTAGAACCAGCCATTTTTTTTCCACACACAAAAGGTTTATTTCATCCGATGCAATGCGGGCATTGAGATGAATTGACAACGGTTTTATAGTTACTTGGTTTATTATTCGTTAGATTGCAAGCGGTAACTATAGTTTGTTGAGGTAGCTAATGAGTGTTTATCATGCCTCGTCCTCCATAGATAATTAGTTGTTTCAGTCATTGTTTTGTTGGCGGCGGATCGAGGGAGGGTGGCCGATCGAACTCGGCCCATTTCGGTGTGCTAATTCAACGGTGGAAAACTATAAATTTCAAAATTGCCATGTAAATTTTTCCAGTTGAAAAACGAAAAACTAAAAAACAGTTATATGTAAATACTAAAATAAATTATAACATGAAACATTTCATCACATCGTAGATTTAATGCCTATAGGCAGGTGTAAATATAGAAAACTGACCATTCTTGAAGAAAAAACGTGCACTATTAACAGAGTTTTTGTAACATTTCCCTTTTTCTTTAAAAAAAAACTGAGTAATTAACATAGACGCAAGTTATCAGATAAAAAACACAAAAGTATCAAGACTATATCATTATTTTTGAAGTTAGCAAATATTAACTTTTCCTTTTGGAGTTATTCCTTTTGCGCCTTAAATTTCGTCTATTACGTATGAGCTATGTTAATGGTTTCCTTTCAAATTTTATGCTCCTTTTATGAAGTACAAAATTCTTCTCGGGAGTATGTTTCTGAGTTTTATATTGTTCAAGAATTGCTTTATTAGGAAAAATATTCTTTTTCTTCCTTTATTGGCCATCTGTGAATAGTTACATTTCATAAAGTAGTATTCTACTTTGTAATGTATTTGCGAGTGGTCTTTTTGCCTCATGTCTGTGATACTTTCCCAGTATAGGTTGTGCTTTTAGGATTCCAGTTTTCTTTTAATGTGGCTAACCAACATCACCACCTACGCGGAAGATGCAATTTTTTTCTCCAACTCGATCCCTATCCAAGCTTCCAACATTCAAGAACACCTTGTGCTCATCGAAGACTGGTGCCAAATTGAAAGACACGGCTGAATGAAGAACAATGTACTCAGTGTTCACATTAAAGGAGAAAAAAGTCTTGCCCTTCGTTGTACATCAACAACGCAGAGACACTGATTTCCATCCAAGTCAAATACTTAGGACTATGCCTAGGCAGCAGACTGACGTGGCATCCCCACAAGACGTATGAGACAACAGCAACTACGAAGACCGTATGGACCGTCAACATTAAACTAACCTTATACAAAACTTTGGACATATGGAGTGGAGCTTCGGGGTTCTGCCAAGCCTTCCAACATCTTGCGTATCCATTCCTTCCAATCAAAAGTCCTCAGACTAATTGTCAAAGTTCCTTACTAAGTCACTAACCTCACTATCACAAGGAACTCAACATTCCTTTTGTTTGATCCGTTCCCGATTCCAAAAGTTCTACACAAGTTTTATGTTTCGTTTCATTTTAATCCAACTGGCCAATCCTACATTTTTCTATCCCGAGAACCCGGCACATTGCCTTAACTACACCTCCTTTTATTAGGTGCCAGCGTTGGGTTGTTTCTTTTAATTTGTGTCCTCTGGGTGCAATGCTGGTCATAGTGACATTGTTGTGTCTGTGAGATAAAAATACATATTTGTGCATAAATTTAGATAAATTATTTATTTAAAAAAATCTACAAAGCTTATCTTAGATAAAAAATTGCATTTATTACGTTTTATTAAAATTTTGGTTTAATTTGCTCTCCGAAATATGCACACCATGACATTTAGGTATTTATTTGGGAGAGGAGAAAAACGTGGACTACCATGCTAATTAAAATCATAAAACAAAAATGATAAAAACTTTTATCATCATGCCGACCATTATTGGCAGAAATAAATAAATAAAATTGGCTTATTTATTCATTGCACTATTTAAAAATTTATTTTTATTATTTTTTTTGTAATTTTGTTTTTATTTTACCTTTATCGGGTTTCTTCCATAGCTCACGTTCTTATTCTAAATATTAAAGTAGATTAAAGTTGGGATAATGTATAATTGAATTTCACCTAATTTTAAATAATCTCATCATAAATGCAGTTTCTTGTTAAGTTGTTTTGGTAAATGATATAAAATGTTCTAACTGTATATTTTCTAATAAATAAGCTCTGATGAAGCTCGGCAAAAACTTAAAGAATTGTAGTTCTGTTGATACCTCATCAAAGATCCGTTTTTTCCAAATTAAGGTAGATTCCTAGTCAAAAAAGAAAAAAGTATTTAACTTAGTACTTAAAATATTTGTTTTCTAGGAGAGCCTATAGACAAGAACTTATATTTTTCACTCAAGAAAAATCTGGGAAAAAATAAAAATTTAACCAAAGTTATGTTTAAATATTACACTAATGGATTATAATCCACTAATTATTGCATCAGCTCGTTTTTAAAGGCAAAAGTAAATGTATAACACTGGCTTTACTAAAGTAAAAAACGCACTGCATTTCTGCGGTTTTCTGTTCGCTTTTGTAGAAATCTTTCAAAATTTTCTCCCAATTGTAACACGTTAACTGAAAAATTATGTTTCATTTTTTCAAGAAAAAAAGCACATGCAAAAGCTAGTTCAATTTCAATAATATCATAACGTTGCAGCTATTTTTTTACGAGTTGGTGAAGATTAATATATGATAGAAAACTAGTTGAAATTTATGAATTTATTTTAGAAAGTAGACACGAGTGCTTGATATATCAATAATTTGGGTAAATATTGGCTCATTTATTCTCACTGTACAGTGGCAGAAGTGGTAATAAATCTGCAAGCCAAATGAGTTAAGTTAGCAGGAAATCTATCAACTTTTTAGCATAACAGAATAATAAGCGACAGCTGAAAAATTTGTTACATGTTTTCAATTTTTTATCTTTAGATATTAGATGAAAATTAAAATAGTTTTTGTTCTTTTAGGATATTGTTTGCATTTGTAGCGATGTACTTGATTAAAAAGCTTCACACTTGACATTTCGAATGTTTTATAACGAACTTTATTTCTGTGACGCTATGAGTACTGGAGTTGGTCTACCAGATTAACCATTATGAAGGATTTTGGGTGTATGTGACAATTTAGAACGATGTGTGAAAATAAAGCAGATATGCTTGGTTTTGATAAGCGGGATAGTGTTTTACAAGAATATCCTGACATTTTTCGTTTTATTTGGAACATTTACAGGCTATGCGATAAATCTTGATTTGGTTAATGTTTCAATGTTTTTCAACACGCTTAGATGTTTTACTATGCCATACACCGTTTCCTGAAATCGTAGGTTTAGACGTCTGAAAGCGTATGAGAAAGTGTGCGGCAGGCGTCCTCTCCCAAATTAAATCATCGCTGTATTATGTCAATATATCGTATACATGAATACGAAATGCTCTGTGCCTAAGCCTCTCACTCAGTGGGCCTTTATTGCTGCAAGAAATTTAGGAGGGGGATGAAGGAGGTGGTCTATAAAATGAGTTCAACCCCAATATCTAGGGAAATATAGCCGACGGTAAATTATTGATATTCTCCTCCATATACGAATCCCCCAAAACGGATTTGCCAGGAGGTGAGTTATGCCTACAAAAATATTAGTACTTGGTATATTTTTTCCTTTTCCTGCTAAATGTTTCTTAAAGGAAAAAATCCAATTACTTTCATGCAAGCCGGGGTCCGTCTCGTCTTGTGAGATTTCAGAGATTCTTTTTTCAGTCAAGTCCCTCTGATTGGATATATCAATATTGTTTAATGGTTCATGTCCCTTATCCTTAAAGTGTCATAATACGTTCATCCAGCAAATACACTTTATTTTTAGTTTGGTAACTTAAATATCTACCAAAATTATTTTAGATAGTTATCTCACAAATAAAGTTAAATAAACAAAGAAATTACAATATCTGAGTGTTGTAAACTATTAACTATTACTAAACAATTTGCAAAATAATGAAATAGTATTATAATTTGGAAATATATTAATATAGGCTCTTAAGTAGGGCAAGGCTATTTTTTTAGGTTTCTATTTAAAAAAAAATATTTTGTAATGTTTTTACATGGCATAGCAGTACATAACTACATACGGCATTAGCTATGCAATAATCAAAAGTTTCCCTAGTTTTTTTGTTTTTACCGATTCGTTTATTTTTATTATTAATTATATTATTTATTGTTATTTATTTTTCACAATAATAATTCATGACTCAACAAGGCACAACGTGTTGACGTGTTTTAAAAGAAATAATTGTTAAAAAAGTCGACTTAACTAGAAGGGTGTGAATTACACATTAAAAATTGGGAAAAGATTCTTAAAATTAGGTTAAAAAAGAAAAACTTTTCATAAAGATAAAATATTGTAGCAGAATCACGATGTCAAGGTTTTAAATTAACCTTTGAACTTTTTGTCTCTTTAATATTTAAACGTTTGACTATTGTTAACCATTTCGGTCGTAGTTGCTTGTTTTTAAACTTCCTATATAAAAAATTAAAACTCTAACAGAAAGGGAAACTTTT